CCGACTTTGTAACTAATATCCCCACTCCACCCGAAATCGTCAATCCATCGTTCAAGAAAAGTTGCCCGAGTAATACCTGTGGTGCTCATATAAATGAACTCTCAGGATTTTTATCTCGTACTGTAAGAACAGAAAATAAAGTCTTCTAAATATTTGGAACGTATCATACGTCTCCCAGAGTAAGTTTTTTCCACATTCCATTAACCGCTGCTTCGATGTCAACTGCAACTTTTCCCATAGCCTTAACATTCATTCTGTGCTCAGAAAGTTCGCGTTCCAGTTGTTTACTTGTGTTTGTTCGTCTCTTTAATTGTTTTTGAGATTTATGGCTCCAATCACGTCAAATTTAAATGTAATTTCGTTTACTTTTCTTAATTGTGTTTTTTAGGTTGTGGTATAGTTATTAATTTACAATTTTTAAAATTTAATTTATTTTTTGTTGCAAATATAATTTAGAACTTCGACGTTCGATTCCTGTAAAATAATCGATTCTGGAATTTATTCCAATATTGAATAACTAACGCCAAATAGGCTATGGAGACAGTCGATACCTCAAAATCGATTCTCACATCCAACCAATAGTAAAACTAGAATGTGTCGTATTCATTAGAAACTCTTATTTTACTTACGTTTATATAAACATTGTGAATACTTCAGTCTGTCAGTAATGTTAATGTGTACGTCTAAGCTTATATTTACGTTTGCATTGTGAGTGGGTCTTGAGGAATCGAATAAAAAATTGAGATGATAAACATTTAATTTGAACTAAGAGGTTTGGTTTGAACGAAACAAATGATGGACATGGTCGGAGGTAGAATTCAAACACGATAATGTCTTCTATAAAATTAATTATAAATTAATAACTACATTAATAATAAAGGCAAACGACAAAACCCTTGAAAAATATTTTTAAAAAAACTCAGGAATAACCGTATATTTTTAAAATCGAAGGCAATCATTTGATTCGATTCCGGCATTTTGGGATCGATACCATCAAGAATTCGAAGCAAAGGAATCGAATTACGATTCCACTGGAATCGACAAAACAGAATCGATTTCGGAATCGAATCGGAACGCCCTTAGCCGCAGTTCATGAGCATGAACTACACACGAATAGACGTAGCGTGATAAACAATTATAGTTGGAAATAATTATAGACGAGTATACCGAACCTTAACATTTTATGTAGCAAATAACTTCCTCTAACACTTGTGTAGTCATAATCCATGTTTTGAGGATCCTTGATATCGAAAAATCGTTTGACGGCATAACGTCTACTTGGCCGATCGTCCGTTCGTCCGTCGACAGACGTCCTTCTATGGTGAAAGCTAGTGTATAAGACATTCATCCGATTTTCTTTAAAATAGTTATTCCCGGTCGACTTTAACGAACTCTTGGTTCTCTTGAGTTTGAAATGTATATTTTGATTTTTGGAGGTACTTTGCAAGAAGCTTCAATACGTTTTCAATTTTTTTTCAAAAATAGATCCTATTTTTGTTTAACTTTGTCCCCGTATAGTATAAAGGTCGCATAAAAGAACAGTGCAGGTCCAGTTTTCCTTGTAATTCCTGATTGTTCCAAAATTGCAAAAGTTCGAAATGGTTTTCGGCGTCTTGCTTCAACTACAGTATTGAAGATTGAGATATTTCCATGAATAAAATATTCTTTAAAGACAGATCTTCAAATGAGGTCAAGTACAATATTTTGAAAATGTGAGTAGTTAGCGCGAAATATTGCAAGAAATATACTTATTTAACAAACAATTGTTTAAACAATTATTTTCTCAAAAATGGCACCCATTTTTTCCTTTAAATTTCCTCCTCGTTTGTATAAATGATGGGAATGAACGTGGTGCTTGTCTCATTTCTGGAGAACTCACGTTGACGTATTGTTCAATTTTTTTATGTTTAAAATTTTTCAAAAACTAATTCAGTTGTTTTTATTTTGGAAAGTTTTAGCAAGATCTTAGAGTTATCCCTTTTTTTAACCCTATTTCATTCACTTTTGAATATTATTAACGATGTTTTAGCAATTTGAAATTTGTTCCATTGGAAATTTAAGTTACCGGAGAATCCGAATCCGCTATAAAAAAAAATAGGGGGTCCTATTTAAAATTCGCAAGTTGCCCCACCCCCACCCCAGGGGGTGGATTTGGCAGGTCCAGATTTGTATCATACAATAGGCCCCTCTGAGACAAACCAATTTTATTCAAAACATTTCTTGAGACCATTCTTAGTTTTCAAGAAATTTAGTTGTCTCAAGATACAATCACCCTGTGTTTGTGCGCGTGTGTGCGTGTATGCGCGTGCGCGTGTCTGTCTGTCTGTCTCTCTCTCTCTCTCTTCTCTCTCTTCTCTCTCTTCTCTCTCTCTCCCCCTCTCTCTCTCCCCCCCTCTCTCTCCCCCTCTCTCTCTCTCCCTCTCTCTCTTCCCTCTCTCTGCTCTCTCTTCTCTCTCTTCTCTCTCTCTCCCCTCTCTCTCTCTCTCCCCCTGCTCTCTCCCCCTCTCTCTCCCCCTCCTCTCTTCCCTCTCTCTCTCCGCCTCTCTCTTCCCCCTCTCTCTCCCTCTCTCCCTCTCTCTCCCTTTCTCTCTCCCTCTCTCTCTCTCTCTCCCTCTCTCCCCCCCTCTCTCCCTGTAAATCCTGTGTTAACTAACATCCTTTTCACCTATTGATTATTTAATTATGTTTTGGAAAATATCTTCTCAATAAACAAAGATTTGAATCAATTAACACACAACTAGTAATTGTATTGTATTATTTTCTCTGTTAAAGTATGTATGTTATTCCTCTGATACGTATTAGAATATTGAATTTAATAATGCAACTAACCCAGATTTAGATACCTTGATCACATGTAGAAATGTTATGGTTGTATTATTTTTGTCAATTGCTAGGAATTTTCTGGTGAATGGAAGATGCAAAACTAACAAAAATTTAAGCTACTTGCTTTAATTTTCTTTGTGGAACTACTTAAAAATAATTTTCTTATGTATTGCACATAATATTATATGTAAGTGATATTATTAACATTGATATTAGTCATTCATTATGACTCTATCACGAATTGTTCTTAGCAAAAAATTATCTTTCTTCATCGAGTCTGTAATCAATCAAGTCTGCAAATGCAATGTGGAGGTCAACAAATGGCCAACATATTCACATTTATTTAGCCATTTTTATCATAATTTAAAAGTTGAAATAACATGTAATTGATTTTGATGTATAATTTTGGATCTCAAAATACTTACGTCTATTTTTTTTTTTTTAAATTTGATGTACCTGTTCTTGTTCTAATGTAATTAGTATTTAACATTGATTGCATCATAGTTGTGAATATCTGAAACTCAAAAATTAATAGTGTAATACACTAAAAATCCTCTGTGTCCCAGACCTAGGTTAAATACATTATAAAACTACTATCATACCTGCAAAGAATCAAACATGTTTTCATTTTAATAAACAACAAATAACTTCATACATTCTATAGCTTTTTAATATATAATTTTTAATACATGGTCTTAAAAACCCATTTCAGATGTTAGAAAATCAATTATCTGTGATGGAAAACCGAATTTGGGTGAGTCCTTTTGCTTGTAATCAGAAGGAACAAGAAGAGTTGTGTTTGATTTTATGAATTTAGTATCTTACCTCACACATCATGTAATGTGAAGGATAGTTTATAAGAAATTAAGTAGATTTTAAAGGAACACAGAAGAAGTTACTCCAGAAAACCATAAGTTCTCTTCTACAAAAATCTTTCTGGTGTCATGTTAAAAGTTTTATTAATATAAGTTATGATGAAGACAGGAGCTTTTATAGTATCATGTAACATGTTTAAATTGTTTGCATGAACAATAATATTTTAATAAATTAAAATTTTTAAAACCCTTATCATTAAATAACAAAGCCTTAATTTCAAGTCTGAAAGTATAAGAATCCAGGACTTACTAACTGTAATAAACCTGTCAAATTTTCATTGCTACAGGCTCCTTGCATTTTTTTTTTTCCTTCTGAGTTATATGTTACAATAAGCAAAGCAGAACCTTTTCAAGTTGAAAACAAATTAATATTTTGTTTTATACAAATAAAGGTACGCATTGGCATCAAATAGTACCAGTTTTCCAAGTTCCATAGCAGTTAGAAGTGCACTTTTAATATTTACATTAATTATAAAAGCCTGTTAATAAAACATTTTGATACTTGCATGAAATTTAGGTGTGTGTTATACTGTTTTCATTAGTCATTGTAGTATATTCTGTGATTAGGAAATATAAACAAATGTTCTTTTCTGGATAGAAATTATTGATCAAGAAGCAATTTTTTTCTACATGACATTTTGTAGGCTTTTTTTATTGCAAAACTAGTGTGGTGCCAAGTATTATGATGACAATAAAATTGTTGATGAAGGTCAGATGATTGTATTGATTAGGAAATCATAATATATAAGAAAATATTTTTTGAGAAAAAATGTTATTGTTATTTTCTTTCAAATTCATCTCTCTGATGACAACATTGTAAAAACATACTGTTACCTTGTTTTTACTTTGATAACATTCTTGTTTCCTTCATAATTCATTACATACATGAGAAACTATAAAATTTAACATACAATAGTTTTGTCAACATTTGGTTCACTTATTTCATAATCCAATCAATCTTTATTTATTCAAGATATTATTTTAACAAATCTGAGAAAGACAATGTCTCATTAAATAAGAATGTGAAATGTTTTGATGTAATATACAATAAATAAAACAAAATAAAAATTGGTCAAAATTTAAGACAACAATAAAAGTCTGAGAACTCTTAATTTTATGTTTTGGAATGTATAAATATAAAATTAGTCTGATATATGACAAGAAAGTTTCATCATAATGTTTCTCAGTAAAAAATCATCCAGAATATAATTAAGATTTACGTTGAAAATAATATTTGAATATTATGATTAGAAGAAAACCAATAATTAAACATCAAATTTCTGCAAGTGTTACTTGTCAAGTATTCCGTATTCAATTTATTATACTTTCAGTAATAATAATAATAATAATAATAATAATAATAATAATAATAATAATAATAATAATAATAATAAAAACAATAACAATAATTACAAATAACTTATTTTGTGTTCCTATGGATGTAATGATAAGTCACCATGTATATCGACTTATTGCTACTGGTAACAGCTGTAAATAAAAATATTAGGGCTAAAACTGTGTTTAATTTGATTTCTTAATATCCTTTGTACTACAAGAAATAGTCTGTAACGACATAGTTTGAAACATTAGAATAATGAGAGTTAAGAAGAAATTTCATTTCATGAACTTTTGAACTTGAATTTCATAAATGAAATATGTTATTAAATATATCTCTGCATGGAGCATTGTATTATAGATATTTACAATCAAGAATGTAAACCAATCCTCGTAATCACATGTTGATTTCCTGATGATCCAGATATGGTTTATTAATAAACCTGAATGATCACATTAGATTGTGAAAATAAACATCTTAAACAAAACATATCATCATAAGGCTTCCAAGCACAGTACTTTGAAATTTATTGCTATTTGTATTTATTACTCCCTGAAATATTCTTAGAAGATGAAATATTTTAGAAAAACATAACAACTAAAGATAGTGTTTTCTAAGTTATCTTTCAGCATTGTCTATCTATGTGGAAGTAATGTGACATAAGGTCATTCAAAAATAAACTATAAAGGTAATAAACTCCATTTCCTTTCTCATTCCATAAATTTCTTTAAATTGATTAAAACAATGGCCTACTTCAAAATGCATTCACTTGGTAAATTCAAGGAATCTATTATTTATCTGATTCTGAATAATAATTTATACAGCAAATTAATCTAATAGTGTTAATAATTGAGGCAGTAGATTGTGGAAGAGAATTGGAAATAGAGTAAATAGCATACAGGAATATTTAAAAACCAACTGTATGCAGTGTGATAAATGATCATAGTTCTGCTTTTTGTCCAAGACTATCAAGTAAGGAAGCACGCTTTTCATGATGTCTACAATCTGCCTGAGCCATCCACACCAGGTCACTCACTGTTGCGCGGTGCATGGAATATACAGCTGTAACCACTAACACATGCATAATGTTATGAGAATTCAGGTATAAGTCCACTGTGCCAGGAAACCACTTTTCTGGTATGTGCATAGCTCCTATAGCACCACCTACTGCTGATACTGCATCCTGAAATTTATAAATAATTATTTAACAGTTTTATTTTCATCCTACATACAAATTTTAAAAAAAATGATTAGTTCATTAATGGTGAAATGTACTATATTCATAATTTAAATGAATTAACCACATAAGTATATTTAACATGTTAAATCCATAGGTATATTAAACAATGTTAAATAAAGTAGGCCTATGTATTTTCTTCAAGCAATCACATACTTGCAGAATAATATGGTGAAACATATTGGGGTCTCCTCCTCCAAGAGATGTATATCGCAGACCACAGAGAAATATTCTCATTATAAAAGGCATAGAGAAGCACAATCGTCTTTCCCAAGGAGACCATGCTGTTAGAGCCTGCAACAGAAACAACATTCCATGTTACATTTAATCAGAAACCTCCATTTGTTGGAAGTGTTAATGACAGAAGTGAGGCTAATAGTATGCTTTTGAAGTAGCGATTTTAAGCATAGGTCAGTGCAACCTAAAACAAGAAAGGGGTATGAGCAACTAAATTTTTCTCTTTTCCATTTAAGTATTTTTATTTACATACGACATATTTTACTAGTAAATAAATAAAACATACTAGAAGGAGAAGGAATTTTAATGTTCAATGTAGTGATTGTAAACTCATTTTAATGTAACATTGCTGCAATGCAAGAAATGCTGCAATGCAAGATGGCTTGGAAAATTTCATCCCAAAAGTCGAAATTGTCAGGAAAAAAGGAGAAAATCAGGGATTTAACATATTTGTAGAAATGAAATGTTTTATTGTGAAAGGATATGAGGCCCCTCTCAATATTTTCAGGGGCTGTAGCATCCCTGCCCCCCCCCCCCCTTGCACCCTCCTGTGATTATAAACAGTTCCTATGCTATTATTAATAACATGTGTTATCTGAAAATCTAATAAATGAAGTGACATTTTATGGTTTAATGTAATGAGTGGTTATCACAATAATGTGATCAGTAGTAATCATCAATTGAGATCATGGGCATAACTTAGGGTAAGATAACAATTCATTAAAATTATCAAATATGGAGTGGAAAATTTGATTTAAAGTTCGTAAGGCATTATTGTTGTTGTTATAATAATAATAATAATAATAATAATAATAATAATAATAATAATAATATTAATAATAATAATAATAATAATTATTATTATTATTATTATTATTATTATTATTATTATTATTGTTATTGTTATTATTACTGCATATTATGAAAAAAAAACACCGAGATTTCCCTTCCCATCCACATTCGGAATGTTTTCACCCACTGAAGGCCGTCTTTCCGTTGCTGGCATATCAAAGTTCTACATACAGAAAATAAGTCATCTCCCACGACGTGACGAGCGCATTTGAGAACGCTCTATGGTTTGTGCAAAAAACAACGACAAGCCAAACTGTCGACGCCTTAAGTCGAAACGCTGATTCCAGGAATTTGTGTTCAAAACGGCACGGCATAGATGGGCTGCTATTTTCCACTGCAATCTCTTGTAAAATCAAATTGCCTGCTGTGTCACTGATGATACTATTGAGAAACTGAAACATGTCACGGCGGACCTGCGTCCTAAATGCACACAGCCACGGGTAGATGGGATCTGTACGAGGACCGTCGCACTCCAGCATAAGGGAGATGTGGCACCTCGGAGTTGGTTTCCGGCGTAGCCGCGTTGTGAGGCCCTTGGAGACATGGCTAGTCGAGGAGGCTCGCCGACTCTGTGCCCTGATGCGAATTGACCAAGTATTCCGCTGTCCACGCTCCCGTCGAGCTTGCTCGGGGGACACCAAGTCGGCGGACCTCGGACCGCCGCCGACTGCGCCTCCGACAGACCCAGCACGTGGAGTGGAGCGAAGGCATGAGGCAGAGAAAATTGTGTATTTTATACAACTAAATAGTATAGTAAGTAAAACATTTAACATGGAAATAGTATGTCAAGTAAACAATTAAATAGCAGATAAAGATAAATTACATTGCCCACTTTCTAGAATAACAGGGTGACCACTCTTTTTCTACGACAACTTTCCTCGACTTTTCCAGGTCAGTTTCTCATTTTTTTCATGAAAACATTTGTGAAGTATTTCAGGATATTGAAATAAAATATTAAATAAAACATGGCTGTGGTCGATATTAAAAAGTGTTATTGACTGATACGAGCCCTTTTCGTCTTCGCAGTCCAAATTCTTTTGCACTCATATATTGTGAGACAGATGCACTTTGATTCAAAACACACACTATCTTTCTTTATATATTTTTCTGCTCTGATTGCCCTTTAAAAAGAGAAAATACCAATATTTGCATAACAAAAGAATTAGCCGCTTGCGTTCTGTTACGTAGCGTTCAGTTCTGTGATGTAGTACACAAAACAATTTTTTTGTAGGACTGTATGGAACTAGAACAGAGTATAAAAGTTCAGGACAGTTGGCAGAAACAAAGAAAAACCTAGCGGGACAGTGGAACACGTCAATATTTAGGACATATATAAGATTCCACCATATATAAGATATAATTAAGTCTATTACAGATAAAATCGAAAAGGAGATGATAACAATCACTGACAGATATGTTCAGGGAGGAACAAATCCACGTTGGAAGCGACTAGCCGTTTAGGCGGAACTTTGGACTGTTGACGCGAGAACCAACCGCACATAGCCCAACCGACCAAAGGCAAGGCAATTTTAAAACGCTTCTGGCCTGAGGCCTAGGCGGGAAAATGGAACGCCTGTCTGAGCCTCGTTCCAAAACCGCGATTAGAATGGGAGCCACGAGGCCCTTAGCAGAAACCGAGCATAACTGCCCGGCACACTGCTTCAGCGATTCTCACGTTGTTAGCGCCACTGCGGGCAGAGAGCTTGCCGCTGACAAAGGGGACAGAGATGGGAAGTCCTAGCAACCCTTCAGTACTTATGCTGTCGGGATTCGGAAACCCGATTGACATCCTCTTCTCGGCGGAACTCACGTCGTAACTGCTGGGTGGGCAGAGAGGAGATCACTTGGGGCTCCCATTCGGGCTCTTGGCATCCACATTTTGTGGGTCATTGATGTCGGAATGATATTTCGTTATTCCGAGTACATCAACTGCTATGGCCATTAATTGCGTAAGCGTAATGCATGTTTTACGAGAGATGGCAGTGATATCACGAGAGATGGCAGTGATATCACGAGAGATGGCAGTGATCCCTGGATATAGTGATCCCTGGATGGCTTCCTCGTCGGCTTGCGGGATTTCCCCATCCGGGTATCTCCTACACCACCCCAGCCGGGACAACCTGTAAGCTCCTCTCTGGTCTTCCGACATGTGTGACACTGTTGTGCATGTAAGTATAATTTTGTGTGCGAGTAAGGGAGTAAAGGATTGTCACGGAGACAAAAAAAATGATCACGCGCAGTCCGTGGCCCATTTCTTAGGGTAATGGTGCAGCATTCGCCTGGTATGAGAAACAACGCAAAACTACCTCTGCAGGGAGCTCTCACCGTGAGATTTTATAGTTCGAATCCGGAGGATTGCTGGATTATCGACACTAACTAGAAAACTAGGTCGAATTCAGCCACTGCCTCAAAATGAATTCCAGCGGCCGGTTGCACTTGCAGGTAGTTTTCCGTGGTTTCTCCGATCAACAACAGACAAATACCGGAGCAGTACCATAACAAATGTGAAAAGAAACGCGCTCGATCTTTCCTTCCTCTACCCTTACTCCTATCCTATCCATTTGTCTCGGCTGCGCGATGGCCAGCTGGTGAGAGATAGCTGGATAGAGAATGACCTCACAAGCCGACGTGTAGGTTGGTACTAGATTTCATGTTTCAGGCACGAAGAAATATCTCCAGATATAAAAACAGTCATTATGCTGCCGGAAGTAATGATCCTAGCCGTTGTCGCGCCCGCAAACAAGAGTTAATCAATCTGGCATAATACTACTTAAACCTATATTTTAAAACCAATAAACTGACAAAAAACTGATAAGTCCCAAGAATAAGATTTCTGTTGAGCTATATTATTTTTGCAGTATTTACGCTCTTATAGATTTACGTGCTACTCTGAAATGGTTTTGTGCCCTGACTCAACTTAGATTTTCCCTTTCTTTATGGGATTTTTTTTCTAAAAATGTTTGAAAATGTAGTAAAATAATAAAATAATGTTTACAAGTAATAATTATAAATTACATAACGAAGAAAAGTTGAAAAGTGCGGTTCTTTTTTTATCTCGCACTTATAAGTAAGCTCAGTCTTCTACAGTGTAACTCGAATACGGTAAAACGAATACCCTTCAATGCGATGTGCAGAGGAGAAATATATAAATGAAAATAATGATGATGATAATAATAAACGAAAAAAAGAAGGAAAAGGAAGGGGAAGGGGGAGGGGGAGAGGGAGGAGAA